AACTCTTTGGATTAATAAAAATTGTAACATTCAATTGTTTTAAAGGTGTATATACTTTTTAGAGTATTTGTATTTTTTTTTTTTTTTGGAAATTGTGGTGAAATATACAGAACCCAGTATTTACCATTTTCGCCCTTTTTAAGTATACAGTTCAGTGGCAGTAAGTACATTCACATTGCTGTGCAGCGATCACCACCATCCGCCTCCAGAACTTTCTCCTCATCTCATCTAGAAACTCTGTCCCCTGAAGCAGTAATTCCTCCCATTCCTGCCTCCCTTCTGTCGCTGGCAACTACCATTTAACTTTTCCTGTTTCTATGAATTTGACTGCTCCAGGTACCTCATATAAGTGGAAGCATACAGTTATTTGTTTTGTAGCTGACTTATTTTACTTAGCATAATATTTTCAAGATTCATTATGTGGTAGGATTTCCTTTTTTAAGGCAGAAAAATATTCCACTTTATGTTTATAGTATGTGTATACTATACTTCTCTGTGTTTTCGTTTGTTTTGCGTCTCCATTCATGTGCTCATGGACATTTGGGTTATTTGCACGTTTTGACTATTGTGAATAATGCTCCTATCAGCAGGTGTACAGGTTATGTTACTTGAGTCCTTATTTTAATTTTTTGTGTGTATATACCAAGGAGTGGAATTGTTGGATCAAATGATAATTCTACATTAATTTTTTTGAGTCACCAACATACCGTTTGCCACAGCAAATTTACCATTTTACATTTACAAAGCAGTGCTCAGTGGTTCCAATCTCTCCACTTCCCTTTTAACACTTATTTTGTGTTTTTGTTTGTTTTGTTTTGAAAATTAGCCATTCAGATGGGTGTCAAGTGGTTTCATATTGTGGTTTTGATTTGCATTTGTGACAGTAGGGATTTTGAGCATCTTTTCATGGGCTTATTTTCATATCTTCCTTGGAGAAATGTCTGTTCAAGACCTTTGCCAATTTTTTAAATTGAGTGGTTTATTTTTTGTTATTGAATATTAGAGGTTTTAAAATATATTCCTGATATCAATATTGTATGAGATAATGTGATTAAGTTATTTTCTCCTGTTCTATGGGTTGCTGTTTTACTGTGTTGATAGTGTCCATTGTCACTCTTTGGCATTTGACCATGTGTGCAGGGATTTATTTCTGGTCCCTCTGTTGTGTTAAGTAGGTCTGTATGTCTGTCTTTATGCTAGCACCATACTACAGGGGTGGGCAAAAGTAGGTTTACAGTTGTTCATGTGGAAAAAGACATGCAGGGTATGATTATTACAATAGCTTTAACTCGAAAGGATGTCATTCACAACTGTAAGCCTCCTTTTGCTCGCCCCTGTATTTTGATTACTGTTGTTTTGTAGAAACTTTTGACCGTAGGGACTGTGAGTCCTCCAGCTTTCTTTTCCTTCAAGATTTTTATGGCTTTCTGGAGTTTCTTGAGATTCCATGTAAATTTTAGAATGGCTTTCCTCTTTGTTTTCCCCATTGGGATTTTGATAGGGACTACATTGAATTTGTAGATTGCTTTGTGTAATATTGACATGGTAATGACATCGTCTTTCAATCTATGAAAATGGATTGCCTTTCTATTTATTGTATAGTCTTAATTTCTTTTGTCAATTTTTCTATTTTAGTTTTTAGTGTACATGTTTCATGTTGTTGACTAAGTTAATTCCTCTTTTTAATTTTACTCTTTTTGATGCTATTGTAAGTGGAATTCTTCAAACTTTTCATTGTTAATACATAGAAATGAAACTGTGTGTGTGTGTTGATTTGTATCCAACTATTTTGATGAATTTGTTTATTAGTTCTAACAAGGTTTTTGAGGCATTTTCAAGGGATTCCACATGCAAGATACTTTTTCCTTTCTAATTTGGTTGTCTTATTTATTTTTCTTGTTTAATTGCTCTGACTTGAACTTCTACTACATTGTTGAGTAGAAGTGGCAAAATCAATCATCCTTGTCTTGTTTTCCATCGTAGAGGAAAATCTATGTCTTTCACCATTGATTATGGTGTAAGCCATGGGGTTTTCCTAAACAATTTTTATTATATTGAAATTAGTTTCCTTTTATTCCTAGTTGGTTGCTTTTATTACAAAAGAGTAGTGCATTTTGTCAGATCCTTTTCCTGCATCAAGATGATGATGTGTTTCATTCCTTCGTTCTCTTATTGTGATGATCACCTTCATTACTTGAAGTGTGTTGAATTATCTTTGTATTATAGAAATAAATCCCACTTGGTGATGCTCCTGAATTTTTAACCATTATGTCTTTAAGTACTTCTTCTTCCTCCTATGTTCTTTCTTTCCGGAACTCCAGTTACATGTATCTTGGATTGTCTCTCCATGTTTCGTAATTTTTCCCACTCTTTTCTGTGTTTTCTATTGTATCTTTTTGGGCTTCAATATAAGTATTTTACTTTTTATGATCTTTTGGTTCGGTGATCCTTTCTTTAGCTGTATCTAATCTGTTGTTGACTTCATCGATTTCCTAAAATCTGTTTTCAAAATCATATTTTTTAGTTCTACGTTTTTCATACTTTAAAGAATTGCTAAAATGTTTTTTTAATTCATCGAACATATCAACTTATTTTAAAGTCCTTTGTATAAAACATTATCTGGATCTACTATTGCCATTTTAAAATTTGGGTCTTAGGTCTTGACTTTTATTTTTTACTTTTAGACGTTTTATATAAAAATGATAAAGTAATTTGAATTTCTGGATGATACCTTTTTATCTAATAAGTTTTACTTTAGCTAAAATCTTTTGAGAAGATTTGACTAGTGTAGAGCTGGGTTAACAACATTAGATAGGTCAGATCACCTTGCCTTAAGCAGCGATGGAGGTGATTGGAAGCTGCGTTTCCCTCCTTATGTGGCCTGGTCCGTTTCTGGTTTACCTCTGTACCTAGGGTGTAGTCCTTTGGGTTTTCTCCAGAGGCCTCGCGTGTTTACTGGGGCTGTTCCTCCTTGGCAGGCCCTGGATCTCATTTTTGTGCCCCCACCCATAAATCTCTGCTTAGCTTCTCAGGCTCTCAGCCAGTGATTTAATGACTCTTGGGGAAAAGGAGTCTGAAGTCTGGTCTCGTCTATTTCTTCCAGATCTCAGTCCTACAAATTCTTACTGTATTGAAAGTTCTCCAGTGGTTTTAAACAGGTTACTTTTTATTTTGTTTTTCCAGTTGTTCTGTGAGGAAGGTTTGTTTGAAGCAACCTACTCCACCATTGTCAAAAGCAAAATGCTTAGATGTGTTCTAGAATTCAGGATTTTTGCTATGGTAATGATAGAAATTGAAAAGCTTATTAATTTTGAGCAACAGCCAGATTTAATCAAACCTTGGATTTGCCCTGTACAATTGAAGTTTTATAGATACACATGTATAGTATTAAAAATACTTGAATAGAATTTCCCTGGGAATTAATTTTTGCGCATTTTCTGAAATGCTTTAGTATTTTGTTTCTCGTCTCTCCAAAAATATTTTTATTATATAAGTTTTGAAAGCGCTCAGTGTTTGATACAACTGTCATTCACAGCGTGACACATTGTATCATTGCCAGTCCTTGTACCATAGTGATAAATGGAATAGAAAATCCTTGTTTTTGAAGGATTCACAGACTCAGAGAGAAATGGACTTGGAATTTATATGTCCACACCCACAAAGTGAGGTGCTATGGTGTATTCGACCAACGGGGATTGGTCTCGGCTTCATCGGGGAGGTGACATTCCAATGGACTCTTGACTAATAAGGAGTCTCTTAAGTAACTAACAGAATAGTATTTCCTTTAAATGCATATATTTTTAAAAGATTTTATTTATTTTTAGAGAGAGGGGAAAGGAGGGAGAAAGGAAGGGAGAGAAGCATCAACGTGTGGTTGCCTCTTGCGTGCCCACAACTTGGGACCTGGCCTGCAGCCCAGGCGTGCGCCCTGGCTGGGAATCAGACCGGCGACCCTTTGGTTCGCAGGCCGGCGCTCAGTCCACTGAGCCACGCCAGCCGGGGTGAAGTGCATCTTATTATGGAAATATATAGTGTCTTAGTGGGTTGACAAATTGTTATTTTGCTGGTGTCTATGGCAAGTAGAGTTTGGAAAGGCAGATTGAGGACATCCAGATTTTTAGTTCACCCTTGGACATGGAGACCATAAGAAGCTTTAAGAATATTATATAATGTTTAAGAGAAGAAACTCTGGGTCTAGACTCCCTGAGTTCATATTCTACACTCTGCTCCTTACTGTGTGACTTTGGACACATTATATATCTTTGTGCTTCAGTAACCTTATTTATAAAATCAGATAATAATTACCTTATTTTGCTGCATGTAATGCATTCCCATGTATAATGCACACCCACATTTTTGGCCCAAACTTTAAGGAAGAAAATCTTTTGCTTTAATTTTTTAATTAAATTATTTATTTATAGTTAGAAATAAAACTGATATCGTATTCCAGTGTATTATTTTGCATACAGATATTGTTATTGCTTTCTAGAGTTACACTTTTAACATATAAGCATAAATCAAAGAATTAAAAACATTTATATAGATACAGAAATAGTACTACCCATGTGTAACACACATCCTTATATTTCCCTCAAAAATTTGGCCAACAAAGTGTGCATTATACATGGCCTATACATGAAAGAATATGGTGTAACTCAGAAGACTGTAGTTAGGATTGAATGAGTTAAAACATATCAGATGTTTAGAAAAGTTTCTGTCACATAGAAAAATCCCAATAAGTATTGGCTCTTGTTGTTGCTTTTATTTGCATTGAGAAAAACTCAAAGGTTACAATGGCACTCTTATAGCTAGAACTAGAGGCACGAAAAGATTCAAGAGATAATTTTACGGGCAAAATATTTACTAATTTTATGTAACTAGAAATTTCGACTAATAATGCTGTGAGTGTGCAGCATAGAAACAGGTTTGAAATTTGTATAACATTTTCATGACTTGCAAATTTATAGAACTTAAATTTTCTAATTTGTGTTTTCTTTTAGATCTTATAGAAAATTTCAGCTGTAGCCCTTGGACTAGAAGCTGAAATAATAGAAGCTGTGTACGATGCATTAGGGTATTGAAGAAAATTAATTTTTGAATTAAATATTTGGACTATAAGGAAGGAAAGGTGACTGAAAATGGGGCGGAAGAAAATACAAATCACACGCATAATGGATGAAAGGAACCGACAGGTAAATGAAATTTTAATTTATCTATGTAATTGATGTAAATAATTTTTTTTAAAAAGGAGTGTAGGATAAAATGGTTGATTTTTTTCTTAAATTTAATTTCAAGTCTAAATAATTTTATTTCTAAATTAAATATTTTAACAGTCAAAAAGTTTTGGCTTTTTATCATGTGCTTTAAAGAAATTTTTATTTCAGAAATCAAGTGTGTTAATTGCAAAAAATATAGGCAGAAAAGAAGAAAAGTAAAATCACTGCAACTCTACCACTACCATTCCTTTGCATAGATTTATCATAATATATTTAATCTTCTGTACGTTTGTTTGTTAGTTTTCTGTATCTCGATCATTTTAGATTATCACCTCTGTTTTCACCAGTAGGTAGCACCTAAGTTAGCCTTGGCTATCAGTGATTGGGTTCTGGTCAGTTAAATTTTCTCGTTCACCGACAAATAATGAGAATTTTTTTTACAACTCGTACTATCACAAATATTCTAAAACATTTGTATATGGGGTTGGCAAACGTAGGTTTACAGTTCATATGGAAAATAATGCAACAATGAACAAATAATACAAGAATAAACTCTGTGTTTTGTGTACTCACAGCTGTAAACCTATGTTTGCCAACCCCCTATGATTCAGGTACCAAAGTCAGTAAACTCCGACCCACTCAGGATAATTTTAACGGTACTGATAGATAAAGACCAAAAGCCGCACGGGCTTAACGCAGGGGCTGACAAACCGGCCCGTGGGCCGGCCGCCTGCCGTTACAAACACCGCGCTGTCAGAGCATGGCCGTGCCCATGTGTTCACGCAACTGTCCGTGGCTGTTTCCTCTCGACAGCAGCATCGTTGGGCAGTCAGTTCCCCCAGGGACCCTGTGGCTCGGAGGTCTAAAGTCTCTACTCTCTGGCCCTTGAAAGGAAAACTTGACAACTCCCCCAAAGAAAAAAGGGAAAAATGATTTCCCAGGTTATTGTAGATGAACTATTCAAAGCATATGCATGAGGCAGAGATACTGTCACTGGAAAAGCTCCTTATCAGGAGATGTTTCTCTCTCTCTCTCTTTAGGATTTTATTTATTTATTTTTAGAGGGGAAGGGAGGGAGAAAGAGGGAGAGAGACATCAATGTGTAGTTGCCTCTCACACGCCCCTTACTGGGGACTTGGCCCACAACCCACGCACGTGCCCTGACTGGGAATTGAACCGGCGACCCTTTGGTTCTCGGGCCAGCGCACAGACCACTGAGCCACACCGGCCAGGGCTCAGGAGAAGTTTTAAGACAGCTACAAGGAACAGAACAGTACTAAAAGTGTGTTCTGCAAAGCCTGAGTAGTAGTTCATCTGGCCATATGGATATAATTGGAAACAAAACTCAACTGAGCAACTGGTAGGAACGTCAGTGGGAGCGGTTAGGGCTGCCCATATACCGAGTTGAAGAGGGCCCTTGTTCAGCTCATGAAGGCCCTTAGCTCAAGTGTAAGGCTCACTCAGTAGGATTCATTACCAAGGCTGATGAAATAGAGAAGACTGAAACCAGTCCCTAATTCCAAAGAAATGATTCTAAGCAAGGCCGCGAGTAAATTTCCCTTTACAGATCGGAGGATTTTGACGTGTCGGGGAGGCATGGGGACCTGCTTCACAAATACATGCAGCACACATGTAAAATAGGGTTCATTTGGGGATAACAACAAGCACAGAAGTAGCAAAGTGCCTCATATCCCCTGAGCTCTCACCAGGCGCGCGGAGAGACTGCGCCTACCAGGGGAAAGGACCCCCCGTGACCCGAGGGAGTGGAGTGCCAGGAAAAGATGACTGTGCCCTGGAAGTTTTTAAGTTAAGTAAAGGGCCTTGTTAAAAAGACGGACTCTGCCACTGTAGCTCAGCAATGAGAAGAAGAGGTCTTACAAAAATATGGCCTAGAAGGGAAATACCTGTATGGCATCCATAAACATCTAATTGCAACATTGTGGTAATTGCGGGGGGGTGGGGACAAGGGGGGCAAGTGGTAATAGGCAACAATACAGTAAAAATTGAAAAGAAAAGAGAAAACTTTAAAGGTGAGGGAAAATGTAAACTCTGAAGGGTTATTTTCCTGTTTTGTATCTAACTTTGTTTTACCTAATCTTCTAGGAAGAATGGTTTTAAGCTATAGTCAGTACAGTACTTCCCCCTTATCCATGGGTGACACATTCCAAGACCCCCGGTGGATGCCTGGAACTCCAAATAATCCCAAACCCTTATATATACTATGTTTCCCCTGTTCGTACATGCCTCTTCACTTAAAGGAAGCACTTTACGGCCTCTCTTTGGCATGTCCAAGTTGCCAGCCTCAATCACTGCTGTTGGGCTTTGGGACCGTTACTAAGTAAAATAAGGGTGATTTGAACATAAGACGACTGCTAAATTACTAACAGGTAAGTCGCATATACAGTGTGGATATGCTGGACCAGTGCCCATCCTGGGCAGGACGGTGAGAGAGTTCATTGTGCTCCTCGGACAGTGCCCGATTTAAACCGTGTGAACTGTTTATTCTAAAATGTCCCATTTAATATTTTCACGGCACAGAGTACCACGGGTAACCTTGTAAAGGAAAACTGCAGATAAGGGGGTACTGTTTCTATCTTCTAGGAGATTGTAAAGTATTGGTATAATTTCCTAAATGTTTGGTAGAATTCACCAGGGAACTCATCTGGGCCTGGTGCTTTCTGTTTTAGAAGGCTGTTAATTATTGATCCAATAATAGTCTGACTAGGCCTATTTTTTTCTTGTGTGTTTTGGAAGATTGTTTGTTTCCAGGAATCGCTTTCTTCATCCAGATTATCAAACGTACAGGCATAGAGTTGTTTATATTATTTTTTTTACCCGTGGGACCTGCAGTTGAGTTGTGATGTCCCTTCTTTCATTTCTGATAGTAGTAATTTTTTTTTTCTTTCTTAGTTACCCTGGAGGTATTCAGATAGCCAGTTTTTGGTTTTGTTGATTTTACTCTATTGATTTCCTATTTTCAGTTTTGTTTTCTGCTCTTAATTCTTTCTTTTGCTTTCATTGGATTGACTTGCTCTTTTAAAAATTTCTTAAGGTGGTGGCTTAAATGATTGATTTTAAGTCTTTCTTCTTTGCTAATATGTGCATTCAATGCTATAAATTTCCTCTAAACTTTGCTTTCATTGCATCCCACAAATTTTGAGAAGTTGTATTTTCATTTTCATTTAGTTCAAAATAGTTAATTTCTCTTGAGAGTTCTTCTTTGATTTCTGTGTTATTTAGAAGTGTGCTATTTCATCTCTGAGTATTTTGGGATTTTCCAGCTGTCTTTCTATTACTGATTTTTTTTGTGTGTGTTTATTTTCATTGTCATCTGAGAGCATGCATTGTATGATTTCGATTCTTTTAAATTTGTTAAGTTGTATTTTATGGCCCATAATGTGTCTTAGTGAATGCTTCATGTGAGCTTGAAAGTAATGTATATTCCTGCTGTTGTTGTATGAAGTCAGTATCAATTAGATCCGACCTTACGGATTGCCTCCAACATTTTTGGTAGAAAAGTATTGAAATCTCCTACTGTAATAATGAATTCATCTATTTCTCCTTGCCTCACAGATCTTTGACGCTCTGTTGTTTGGTTCATGCATTTTAAGGAACTAAGGATTGTTATGTCTTCCTGGAGAATGGACCCCTTGATCATTATGTAATGCCCTTCTTTATTTCTGATAATTTTCCTTGCTCTGAAATCTGCTCTCTCTGGAATAAACATAGCTTCTTCAGTTTTCTTTTGATTAGTGTTAGCAGAGGATATTTTTCTCCACCTCTTTACTTGTACTCTATGTGTGTCTTTATACTGAAAGTGGACTGCTTGTGGACAACGTATATTGTTAGGTATTGTTTTCTGATTACCCGACAATCTTTATTTTTTAATTGGTATATTTAGAACATTGACTTTTAAAGTGATTGTTGATCTAGTTGAATTAATATCTATCATATACCATACTTGTGTTCTATTTGTTACTCTTGTTTTTTGTTTTTGTTTTTAATTTTGTCTTATACTCCCTTCTTTTTGTGGTTTTAATTGATTATTTTGCTTCCATTTTCTCTCCTTTCTTAGCATACCAGTTATACTTTTTTTTTTTTTTTTTACTCTTTTTAATGGTTGCCTTAGACTTGCAATGTACACTTGCAGCTAATCCAAATCTGCTTTCAAATAACACTATACAGCCTCACAGGTAGTATAACTACCTTAGAGTAACAAAGTATTCCTAATTCCTCCTTCCTATCCCTTGTATTGTTGCTGTTATTCTTTCCACTATTACCTAAGCTATAACCAATATGCTGTTGCTGTCCTTTTGAACAAACTGTTACCTGCTAGATCAGTTAAGAACAGCAGCAACAAAAGCGTATCCCTGATGCTCTTCCTTTATGTAGATCAGTTTCTGGTCTGCGTTATTTTCCTTCTCTCTGAAGAACTCCTTCAACACTTCTTTCACGGCGCGTCTACTGACAATGGGTTTCCTCCATTTTTGTTTGTCTAGGAAAGCCTTTATTTCTTTTGAAGTATAATTTCTCAAGATACAGCATTTTAGGTTAGTGAGTTGCCCCCTTGACACGTTAAACATGTCCCTTCACTCTTCTTCTTTGCCTGGTTTCTGAGGAGAAATTGGATGTCATTCTTATATTTGCACTTCTGTATATAAGGTTTTTTCCCCCCCTTTGGCTTTTTTCCAGGTTTTTTAAAAAAACTTTGATTTTATATAGCTTATATATAATATGCCTTGGTGCCATTTTTGGTTTTGAGGGATTTTTTGGTTGTCGTTAGTTTGTTTGCTTTCATACTGCTTGGTGTTCTTAGAGCTTCCCCGAGTTATATAGGTAAGGTTCTTTAGCTTTATTCTTTCTTTACAGTGATTATAATCCTGGAGTAAAATGCCAATTTAAAAATTAAACTTTTATTTATTTTGCCTAATAAATCCTGAAATAGCTTTATTAATACTGATATTTAAAAATTATTTAAATTTTATAGTACATAAAAATAAAATGAAGTTAAATATGTGTCATGTACCAAAAAGTATAAGCCTGTTTCAAAAAAGGATTCATATTTATAGGAGGAATTCTTAGTAATCAAGGTAATTGTGAGTGATGAAATAAGGTCAGTTAGAGAGAATGAGGCCAGATCGTTTATTTTGTTTGCTTAATGAGCTTGGATATTACTTTGGATGCAGTGAAAAACTAAACTCCCACTTGCACATTTGTATTTATATGTCAAAAATATCACTCTGGCAGGTATATGGCAAATATTACTATAGGGTGCAGTAGGTGACACAGGAAATCCAGTAAGGTGACTCTATAAATAATACACATTAGAGATGTTAGCCTAGGGTGGCCGTGGGGTAGACAGAAGTGTGTACATCTGAGGCATGTTTGAGAGGTCGAGTAGACACAATTTGTTGGTGGATCAAGAAGAGCCCTTAGATTTTTTGACATTGTTTGGATGGAAGGTGGTGCCAGCCGTGGAAATGGGAAACACTGGAAAGAGCGCATTTGTTGTTTTTAAAAATTACGAACCTGGCAAGGCCTGTGAGGGTCGAGAGGAGGAGGAGCTCAAGTCTGGAGCCCGCGGGTGCCTGAGTGCACAGGGGCGGGGCAGAGGAAGAGGACGCCGCCCCCGAGGCCGAGGGGCAGCGGTCACCGGGGTCAGCGGGAGACCTGGAGAGTGTTGTGCCTTAGTTGGTAAAGGAAGTGTTGGAAGAATGAGAATATGGTCAACTTTCTCAGATGCTGCTGATGTACATTCTAGGATAAGAACAAAAAAGGAGCCATTGACTTGAATCCCATAAACTGAAGGTTGTTACTGACAAGTCTTAGTGGAACGTGGGGAATGGAAGTCTGAGTGCAGTAGGTCGAGGAGAGCGGAGGCGGTGTGAGATTGGAGACCACCGGAACGTTTCTTTCAGACGCCGTGCGCTGCCGTAGAGCGCGGAGGAGGAGGAGTGGCAGCTGGAGGGGCAGTGTGGAATCCGGAGCTCGAGCAAGGCTGTGTGCTTACGGCCTTCGGTCTGGCAGAGAGGGCGGAAGCCACTGGTGGGGGAAGGGAGGGCAGCAGATGGCATATGGGGAGGAGGAGGAACAGAAATGCCAACACTAAGGCAGAGAAGGGAGAGCGTGGAAAGGCACAGACGAAGTGTGGAAACCGGTGATTTGGCGATGGGAAGTGCCATTCCTGTTCTCTCCGTGGGCTGAGACAGCGTGAGGTTGAGGGAGAGAAGGCGGGAAGTGGCTGGCTTGGAGAATGGGCTAACGAGGTGAGTGCCGTTCGGATCGTCAGGCAGCGCTGAGTGTTGGTTGAGATTTATGATCATCAGTTTAGAAACATCGCGTGCGCACGCGCGTGCATGCGCATCTCTGTGTGTGCACGTGTCCTCAGAAGAAGCGTGAGTACTTGGATAAAGAGACGGGGATAATTTGTTACGTGAGTAGGGGGTCAGGCCCTGACTGGGGCCGTGCCAGGCACGTATGTTAATGAGAGAAGGGCAGAGACGCTGTGCGTGTCTGCAAGGGAGTGGAAACAGTGACAGATCACGGAACCTAGAGGCACGAACGGACATGAGAATAGGTAGTAGCAAAGTGGTGAGATAGTAATTGGGGGACTTGATAAAGGTTAAAGAATTTCTGGAGAGAGAATGCAACATAGGGGAGCTGGAAGATAGGCAGTGAGGCGGCGGGGGTGATGTGCTTATTGGTGGTGGCAAGTTAAAGGTACGGTTTTAGGAGCGGGCATTTGACAGTGGGGGAGGTTGGGCATTTGGAAGGTAGAAGGAGGAACTGAGAGGCCACAGTGTTTGTCGTGATTTTCCCCCCACAGGTGCTGCGGTCACCAGGGGTAAGAGCAGGGCTAGAAAGAGAAGTGGTCAGGTGACACTTACCGGTGCATGAGGGAGAGCGACCGGGGGTCTTGGCGCCCACCGCAGGGAGGGTCATTGGGTGGTACAGATGTCATGGCATGAGCTGTAAGGTATCCGGGGGTTTTGAAGGGGACGGAAGGAGAAATAATTTGGGGGAGAGAATTTGGGAGGGAACAAAAAGGACGTACCTTCCAGGTCCTTCAGGATAGGGGATGTAGTATTTAAAAACGAACAAAAATTGGTCTCTATTTGAGAGGACTTCCGGCGACAGGTTTCAGTGAAAGACACACATTCAGAGGACGTGAGGGAATTTGCTGATCCTCGACTGGGAATTTTAGCGGCTGCAATAAAAGGGCGTAGAGGGGAGGGGTGTGCGAGTTAGATTAGTGGGTGTGCTTAGTTGTTTTGCACAAGCCTGAAAGGTGATGGGTTCGTCGGTGTAGGACTTGGGGTTTCTGATGGGAACCATTTTTAATTAGATGGTAAGGGATCGCCAGTGAACTCCCCCCTTTTCTGTCTTTGAAATAGGGCTCAGCTTTGGGAAGACCCCTCTTCAGGTAGCCCATATTCAGTTACTCCTGACGCTTTTAGCAAACACGTTTGTTTCTTTGATTGTCTAGGTCACCTTCACAAAGAGGAAGTTCGGGTTAATGAAGAAGGCCTACGAACTCAGCGTGCTCTGTGACTGTGAGATCGCGCTCATCATCTTCAACAGCTCCAACAAGCTGTTCCAGTACGCCAGCACCGACATGGACAAGGTGCTCCTCAAGTACACCGAGTACAACGAGCCGCACGAGAGCAGGACCAACTCGGACATCGTCGAGGTAACAGCCTGGTGGCCTGAGTCGCAGGGAATGCTGGTCTTCATGTAATGGCTTGAGCTGTCAGACTGTTTTTTACATCCCAGATATAAATCGGTTACAGATACATCTTTTCTCTGAGTCATTTTTTAGAAGGCTCTAATTGTTGCAATATGATTAACCACTTACATTATAAATACATCTTACTCACTGAGACAAAATAAACTGTGCGGTTGTGCCATACAGCCAGCACAACCTAGCGTTTCATCTGTGATTACTTATTTTATGAATTTTTAAATTCATATTCTGAAACCCTAGCATCACTTCGGATAGTAGGGCGTTGTAGTTTTAGTGTCTTAGTTATTTATGTCCGTGATTGCCCACAACTCTAAACGTGAAGGAAGTGAAAGAAAGCGATGTAAATGATGTTTCTCTTTTGCTAATAGTGTTAGTTGAGGGGGGAGGGTGTCCTCCTGTTCCTTTGTCGGCTGCTCAGGATCTCTCGCAGCTCCGCCAGCTTAAGTAAGGGAAGAAAGGGAAGGGATTTTTAATGAATGATTTCTTTCTATTCAGAAAGTGTTTTAAAACTGAACTTTCAGAAAGGAGAACCAATATGCTTCTACTTCCATTCTTTTCTGTTGCAAAATCTTATGAAAGGTAACTTTCCATGTATCTTTCTAGTGGCATTTTAAATGAGTTTGATCTTTTGTCTTTTTTGTTTCTATGTAGAGATTTTGCTTCATTTTTACTCAGTTATTTTCACTACTTGAAAAGATACATACTTTGGCAAGTTTATTGAAATAGGCAACTTACCCCAGGGAATTAGGTGTTTCCTGGTGACAGCGCTGGGACCACGTGAAATGACTCACAACTCTCTGCACAGGAAGGGTCGAGTCTCGCTCCAGAGTTTAGTCAAATAGCTGGAATTAAGATGGAGATGCTTTACTGTGTAGAAATCTAATTTATTCGCCTCCACAGATGATGTCCTAGTGCTGACCATGAGTTTTAAATTCACCCTCTATGGCTCTGCCTTAGCCATTCCTTTTTGGATGGTAATTGTTACTGCAAAAAAAAAAAAAAATTCTACTTTTAGTAAAAGAGCACTTTTATTACTTTTTAGCAGTTAACAGTTGTTTGAAAAGAGAGGGAAAAGTGTAGCGTAGTGAAAGCTCGGACTCGTCTCTGTTGCTTGATTGCCAGGCACTATTTGTGCCGCTCGCTGCTGGGAACCCGCCCTGAAAGCGTAGGGGGCTTTCGATGGGGCTTTGGTTGAACACTCCGGTTAAACCGCATGGTTATGCCCCTCAGTTATATCAGTTGTAAACTGCTTTAGATCACTGAGCATTTTGGTATATCTTACGCACTTACATGTGGTACAAACTATTCAGTAGACTTTTTCCATTACATAGCCATAATGAATTTTTAATCAAAATTTTGTAAGTTAGGGGTCACCATTTGGGTGAGCTTTAGAAGAGACTTTGTAACAGCATGTCCTTGAAATGGGGGGTATCCCTGGCGTGTTTAGTTTCAAAGGATGTCTTATCTTTAAAATCTCTATTTCTATAAAAATGTGCACAGCCTTAAGTAAAACGAATTGTAGAATTGCCTGTAATACTGGCAACAAGTAGATGTCGGAGCGGGTTTCACCGCGGGGGCAGCCTTTCGGGACCCTGGCCCCCGTGCGCCTTTCTGCGGCGGTGCTGCTCCCGGCCCCGAAGCCGAGGGCGCTTTGCGCAGCCCGGCTGGCTTCCTGAGCGACTGTGAAGGAGAAAGCCTGACTCAGTCCTCCCAGAAGTGTCCGAAGACTCCCTCATCTTCCCCTCTGCTGGGCCAGCAGTCAAAGTGTCAGAGAAGAGATCCCAAGCATTTTTTTTTTAATAGTCTCCTATAGTACAGTCTGCTTCAGTATGAGGAAAAACTTTTGCAGCCCAGTTATCAACAGGGATTTTGATACATTCTTTTTCATCAGAATATTTAGAAGTGAACATAAATCTTACCAGTAGGTTTTTATGAAGTTCTGAATCACATTAACACAGTGGATAGAATACACAGTCATTTACAAAGGGTTAATTTGTTGTGAGGATGAACTATAAGGCTTAATTCGCCTTTCGTGTACGTTAGTGAACCTGCGTTGTAAGACGGCGGTGGTTACACCTGTAAGATACTCTCTCCCACACATGGAAGGTGCTACGACTGCACCCTCGCTAGCAGTGTGTCTGTAGCTGAGTTCTCTTCATCAGCAGTGGCCGTGGCTTACGCTAATGCAACCAGAGAGATTGATGTGAGCCAAACTGATAGCAGATGCTTACGCTGAGTTTCCTGTGGGCTGCTTTTCAAAATGCTTTACTAATATCTAAGGGTATTTTTAGAATGCCATTGTAAGTATTTTTTCCTTTTACACATAGTTTCCTTTCATATAGTTGTAGTAATTGGAAGCACACATTTTGATGTCCATTTGTTCATTTCACAAAAATATTTGAGGGGCGCTTGTGCGCTGTGAGCTCTGCAAAGTGATGTTATTCAGAGGTTTCTAATTCAGACCAGAAGACTATTCTTTCTGCCCAAGTTTTATAAATCGTTGAGATCCACTTTTTCCAACTGAGGATTTTGTGTCTGTAACTCCTGACACGTTGCTGTGTGGTGGTCTAGACTGTCCAGCCATCTCCTGCAGCTGAGGACACACTAAAAGGAGGCACAGAGACAGCTGTGAGCGGTGGACGTGTGTGTGATTCCTTATGCAGTGCGATCAGACGCGAAACTGAGAACTTGGCCAACAGCCTCCATAAGGCTCTTACCTGAATTTACTGATTTCCTGTTGCGTGTGTGTTAGTCTTTAAAATCAGCAGGATTTTACTGTCCCTAATATTACTAAAATACCCTTGACAGAGCTTTGAGTATATTAAAATGGAGTCTTCCGCAGATGTCCTTCTGTTGTATCCCAAACACAAGTTCTGTTGGGGTGCACCGTGCAGGGAATGGAGAGGGGGCTCCGGAGTCGGTGATCCAGCCGCGCAGTCTGCAGCATAAGGACGCACACGTGTTGTGCCTGTGGCGTTGGGTTTAGCGTGTTTTCTAGGAGCACTGTGGTAGATATGTATTAAAGGTGTTGGTGGGTGAATAGTGAGGATGAACAGGCAGAAAGACATGACGCTCACATTTATCTGCTGTTCAGTTTTTAACCAGGGGTGTTAGGAACCCTCTCCAGAATGAAGTTCTACTTTTGCTCTTCCTTGTTTCCTACTGCTGGTATTTTCATACTAGCGTTTAAAACTTTAGTTAATTTTAACATTTTAAATATAGCTAATAGCATTTCTACATAGCTTTTAAAAACAACATTTACATATTTTAAGTGACAGGTATTTTAAATTAAGGCTTGCAGTGTCTTGTAGGATGTATATCCTTTCTATGTTGAGGAAACGAACTATATGAAGATGGAAACTCACAATTCGTAAATTAGGTTGTCATTAAGATAAACTTCATATAAGAACCTTCATAACTGGATTTCTTTGAAATGGAGAGTATCACTCCTGTGTTTTAAATAGTATCTTATTTGAAAAAGTTTATACACTGCTTTTCAGGAATGTAATTTTTATAGATAATGAGTTTTATTTATTTCCTATATTAGGAGACATCATACAAAGTATATCATCACAGATGTGCATTTAATATTTTCATGTTAAGCATTGATACAAAAAGTAGTAATTAAATTGAAAGATACAAAGTGTTAGAACCACGTTTTCAGTAAATTAATATATAAAAACATGCGAATTGTATTACAGAATTGTATAAGAACATTAGATATGTCCTAAAGTATGAGAAACTAGAAATGAAAATCACCAGTCAGTTGCTGTTATGTGTACACACATGTGTGTATATACATTGAATTTAAACTAAATAAAAGCCCAGAACCAATAGACGGGTTCTGCATCAAAATAAATTTTATTCTAAAGGCATAAAGTGGGGATTTTAGCAGCTGCTACATAATAAATGCCTGAAATTACTTTTATATCCTTTTTTTGTTTTGCAGGAATATTTGAAATATTAAATATTTCTGCTCAGTATTTTTTAAATACCTATGACTTGATCGCATTGGAGAATATCAGTGCGTAGTCTATGTGGTGACTCATATCATTGTGCTGTCACTTAAGGATCCAAATACAAGGGCCATTGATCTTGCGTGTTAATGTCTTGTGAACTGTGCCCAAATAGAGGTGTTTTATTCACCGCAGGAATACCACAGTGCTTAAAACAAATTCTACTTTTATTATCTCATTTGCTCTTCATATCCAAGGCAAGCATTTTTAGAAGTAGAAATTGAGACCCAGGTTAAATGACTGGTGCTGAGTCAGATGGCAGTTTAGTGGCAGAACTGCGATCAGAACCTGGATCTTTGATACTGTGCCCCGCCCCCGCCCCGCCCTGTCACTGAATCCACTGGAGCCCTGGACTGTTTCACCGAGGGTGGGTAAGATGTCATACCTATACCGGTAATGTTTAACATGCAGCAAACAGGAATAAGTTTTCCTCAATAATGAACAGAAAATGAGTGAGGATCATTGTAACAAGAATAATAGATACTATTTATCAAATACTTAATATGGCCTGGTATTCTTCCAAGATTTGTATTTTTAGTATCTTATTAAATCTCTCTATTGGCCCCATTTTACAGTTGAGGAAATTGAGGCACAGTGATAAATGAAGTAAGAGGATGATAATTTAGATTCTAAAGAAAGAAAAAAAATCTTTGTTGAGTCTTAATAATCCCTGCCTGCTTTCAAATTACAGAGGAATTTAGAGATTATTTCCAAATGAATTAAGAGGATCTTAAATAAGAGCAATTCAAAATAGTATGCCAACATTGTTGTGAATTGCAAAGTAGGAACCCATTAGAAATAGTTCCATTCTACGTGGTTATAAACGCTCCTCTGAGTTTTATTTAGGGGTCTGGTGAGGATGTGTGGGAGGTGGACTCTAGTACCTCAGCTGAGCATAAAAGAAAGAGAAATGACTTTTGTCTCCTGAGG